CCACTGTTTCTCTAAAAAGCTGAGAGATGGGGCTGGAGAAATGTAACCACTCTCAAATTCATAGACATAGCTATGGGTGCAAGGGCTGACCATCCATGATATCAAAATTATAGTTTTAATCATATACAGTGTTTGATTAAATTTTTTGTTTACAGACATTGGAGTAAAACAAGCTTATATTTTGGGTTCTGATGGGGTATGACAGTTGAACTAAACTCATAAGGAGTTTATAAGTTATATTCTTCAAGAATCAATGGGTATATATCATTAATTTATAAGTTCAAAAATGGATGTAGCTACTGTAGATTGCCCCACATAAACATGAATGCACTGAACTTATTTAATAAAGCTATTTTTCAATGCATTTGTTGCTTGGGGTGTGCTCATTATATGATAGCAAAGTGTTGCTTGCTTATTACAACAATGTGTCATAAAACATTACTTTGTCCATTAGGCCTATCTATTGCATTTCACCATGTGCATGCAAATTACCCTCCTCCATTCCAGTATGATTAAAGATTGTTGCTAGCTACCCTCATTTTCATCACAATTCACAATTCAAAGCATATTCAATGCATAATGAATGAGTATAACGTTGAGATGGTAGATACAGTATCTACATGATAAGGCTGCTTTCGTTTATGGAAGAGGGGAAGAAATGTGCCATGCATAGTCAGGAAGGTACAGGAAGCAATTGATGAGGTAGAGCAGTGGGCATTAATGTGGGGATTCAGGTTCTCTGTAGAGAAAAGCTAAATAGTGTTCTTTACCAGAAACGTGGGAGATGAGGTACGCTTGAGGTTATATGGGAGAAACTTGGAGAGGGTGGGGGCCTTCAGGTTCCTTAGGGTATATTTTGACAATAGACTGACCTGGGCAGAACACATTGAGAGAGTGGTGGGAAAGTGTAAGAAGGTGCTAAATGTGATGCACTGTCTGACGGGGAAGGAGTGGGGGGCTGGGCGTTCCTCATTGAGGACCGTCTATGTTGCATTGATCCGATCTGTAAAAGACTATGGCAGTATAGTGTATGCAGCCCGAACCTCATTGGAAAGGCTAGATGTCATACAGGGGCAAGGACTCAGAATATGTAGTGGGGTATTTCGGACCTCCCCAGTGGCTGCATTACAGGTGGAGATGGGGGATACACCATTGCAGATTAGGAGACGGCAGCTGGCAATGAATTATTGGGTCAACCTACAGGGACATGGGGTGTCTCATCCTGTGAAAGGGATTTTAAAGGCATACTGGGAACATGAGCGAGGACAGAACACAAGCTTTGGGTGGGTGGGTGGGTAATACCCAGGCGAAGGAGATGGGACTGTATGGAAGAGAGTTTAGTCCAACGGTAGCTATTCCTGTAAATCCATCATGGCTACTCCTGCCTCCAGTAGTTGATCTAGAAGTGTTGGAGAGACTACAGAAAGATAGGAAGGGTGTTGATCCATCTGATTTGTTTAATAGACGTCTGGATATTGTGTATCAGGATTTTGTAGCCATTTACAAAGATGGTTCAAAAGATCCAAGGACAGGACGTACTGGGTCAGCATTTGTAGTGCAGGAATGTGGGGTGGCAGTCAGGAAATGTATTACAGATAATCTGGCTGTAGATACAGCAGGGCTGATGGCCATACTGTTGGCCTTGCAATGGGTGGAGGAAGTCAAGCCAGACAGAGTAGTTATTTGCTCTTCTTCATGTGCAGTGTTGATGAGTCTGCAGTCCTTTAGCAGACAAGACCTGCTTTATTTTTTTGACGTACTACAAACCCATGGCAGGATTAGACAGATAGATATACAGATAAGATTTACTTGGGTCCCAGCCCATGTGGGGGTGGAGGGGAACAAGGCAGTTGATGTAATGGCTTAACAAGCACTTAGTAGTGGGGATGTTGATGTTGTAGTTTCAATGATCAAGGCAGAGGCAAAAAGCCTGTGATGGTGCAGAGATGGCAGGAGCAGTGTAATAGACATACTAAGGGCAGGCATTTATTTCAAGTACAGAGGAAAGTCGGGGATGGGAGGACGGCATGAAGGGACAGAAGAGAGGAGGCTATTTTCACAAGATTAAGGGTGGGACACAGCCGGTTGAATAAGACTTTAAATGTGATAGGAAAGCATCCAACAGGAAAGTGTGATTATTGCCAGGAAACAGAGACCGTGGAGCGTGTATTGATACAGTGTGGGCAGTATGAGAGAAAGAGAGAGGCTGAGAGTATGAGGGAGAAGGGGGTACAGGAAATTAGTTTAAAGAGTATATTGAGTAGAAAGTCATGAGATATAGTCTCAAATATTTTGTTATCTTTTTTAAGAGCAATGGGGCTGACAGGTAGGATTTAGTTTCTCCCTGTCTCTGGTCCACACTTCAGTACAGTAGGTGGCGGTAATGCACCATAACGTTGGATGCCAACCACCGATAAACCCACCGAAGAAGAAGAAGAAGAAGAAGAAGAAGAAGAAGATGGCTGCTTTCGAGAAAAGAGCAACAGATCATTTATCTGTTTACACAATGGAGTTGTTGGCCATACTATTGGCTGCAGAGTGGGTGGAGGAGGTGAGGCCATACAGGGTAGTCATCTGCTCTGACTCCAGTGCAGCCTATGCTACCCTCCAGTCCCTCGACTTCTTGGCGCTGACGGAAACATGGATTACCACAGAAAACACTGCTACTCCTACTGCTCTTTCCTCGTCTGATCATGTGTTCTCGCATACTCCAAGAGCATCTGGTCAGCGCGGCGGTGGCACAGGAATCCTCATCTCTCCCAAGTGGACATTCTCTCTTTTCTTCCTGATTCATCTGTCTATCTCCTCATTTGAGGAGAAGGACTTCTTTCTCCCCTCTCTCTCCAGATGAAATCTTGCGACTTGTGACGGCCGGCCGCCCAACAACCTGCCCGCTTGACCCTATCCCCTCCTCTCTTCTCCAGACCATTTCCGGAGACCTTCTCCCTTACCTCACCTTGCTCATCAACTCATCCTTGACCGCTGGCTATGTCCCTTCCATCTTCAAGAGAGCGAGAGTTGCACCCCTCCTCAAAAAACCTACACTCGATCCCTCCGATGTCAACAACTACAGACCAGTATCCCTTATTTATTTTCTCTCCAAAACTCTTGAGCGTGCCGTCTCTAGCAAACTCTCCTGCTATCTCTCTCAGAATGACCTTCTTGATCCAAACCAGTCAGGTTTCAAGACTGGTCATTCAACTGAGACTGCTCTTCTCTGTGTCACGGAGGCTCTCCGCACTGCTAAAGCTAACTCTCTCTCCTCTGCTCTTATCCTTCTAGACCTATCTGCTGCCTTTGATACTGTGAACCATCAGATCCTCCTCTCCACCCTCTCCGAGTTGGGCATCTCCGGCGCTGCTCACTCTTGGATTGCGTCCTACCTGACAGGTCGCTCCTACCAGGTGGCGTGGTAAGAATCTGTCTCCGCACCACGTGCTCTCACCACTGGTGTCCCTCAGGGCTCAGTTCTAGGCCATCTCCTATTCTCTCTATACACCAAGTCACTTGGCTCTGTCATATCCTCACATGGTCTCTCCTATCATTGCTACGCAGACGACACACAATTCATTTTCTCCTTTCCCCCTTCTGATAACCAGGTGGCGAATTGCATCTCTGCATGTCTGGCAGACATATCAGTGTGGATGTCGGTTCACCACCTCAAGCTGAACCTCGGCAAGACGGAGCTGCTCTTCCTCCCGGGGAAGGACTGCTCGCCCCATGATCTCGCCATCACGGTTGACGACTCCATTGTGTACTCCTCCCAGAGTGCAAAGAACCTTGGCGTGACCCTGGACAACACCCTGTCGTTCTACGCTAACATCAAAGTGGTGACCCGATCCTGCAGGTTCATGCTCTACAACATTCGCAGAGTACGACCCTACCTTACACAGAAAGCGGCACAGGTCCTAATCCAGGCACTTGTCATCTCCCGTCTGGATTACTGTAACTCGTTGTTGGCTGGGCTCCCTGCCTGTGCCATTAAACCCCTACAACTTATCCAGAACGCTGCAGCCCGTCTGGTGTTCAACCTTCCCAAGTTCTCTCATGTCACCCCGCTCCTCCTCACACTATACTGGCTTCCAGTTGAAGCTTGCATCTGCTACAAAACCATGGTGCTTGCCTACGGAGCTGTGAGGGGAACGGCACCTCCTTACCTTCAGGCTCTGATCAGACCCTACACCCAAACGAGGGCACTATGTTCATCCACCTCTGGCCTGCTAGCCCCCCTACCGCTACGGAAGCACAGTTCCCGCTCAGCCCAGTCAAAACTATTTGCTGCTCTGGCATCCCAATGGTGGAACAAGCTCCCTCACGACGCCAGGACAGTGGAGTCACTGACCACCTTCCGGAGACACTTGAAACCCTACCACTTTAAGGAATACCTGGAATAGTATAAAAGTAATCCTTCTACCCCCCACCTCCCCCACCCCCCCATAAAAAAAAAGGAAGAAAAGTGGTTGTCCCACTGGCTATCAGAAGTTGAATGTCCTCGGGCCGAGAGAGAAGGAAGGAAAGTGTAGTCACAAGGCTGAGACTGGGACACACAAGGCTAAATAGTACATTGAAAGTGGTGGGGAAACATCCGACTGGGAGGTGTGATCATTGTCAGGAGGAGATAGAGACAGTGGAACATGTACTATTTCAGTGCCAGAAATATGTGAGAGAAAGGGAGCGATTGTTATTAGATTTGAGGAGTAATGGGGTTGAAGAGCCAGGATTAAGTGCACTGCTGGGGAAATCTTCATGGGATGTAGTATTTAATTATGTATTTCGTTTCCTTAGGGAGACGAGATTATTGGGTAGGATTTAGACCTTCACCGTCTCTGGTCCACTCTCCAGTCCAGTTGGTGGCGGTAATGCACCTTAAAGTTCGTTGCCAACCGCCAAATAAATCCACAGAAGAAGAAGAAAAAGAAAAAGAAAAAGAAGAAGAAGGAGGCTGCTTTCGATGGCGCTGAAAAGGGAGGAGTGGAGGGGTTACGCAGTTACATCACGGACAGGCCCTTGTCCCTGACGCTTTGGCGGGAGAAGCAAAAAAGTAGGAAGTGAAACTACAGCAGCAAAACTCAGCTGTAGCGTCATTCAAATATATCAAACGTGTACAAATTTAACTTGAAAATAGTGGGAAATGGATCCTGATATTTGCACCGACGAAGGCTGGACAAAAACGAAGGAGGCTGTCGCGCATTTTCGAAAACTTCTGCTGTGCTCAAAATGGTAAACACCCTACAGTTAGCTTGACTTATGAGCATGTTCGGCTGCTTGTTAGCTAACTAGTTAGCTTGTTGATGTCATTTATAATAGTAGTTAGATCTAATTTACATTATTATTTTCATGTCTTTGATACACTGTCATTACAGTTCAAAACTGATGAACGAACCCGTGTGCCTCGGAGTTTGTGAACATATGCTTTGCAGGTAAGTGGGTGAGTGGATAGCCGCGCATGCGCCGATGCAGTCCCTTTTGGAGTGGCTCACTTGGTAGAAGCAGATCGTTGCACTTTACTTGGCTTGTTCTTTTACTATCTTGAGGTTATCAATGGCTTGTGATTCTTTGTACTAACTACTAGGTCGTGTGCTGGTCCTCAAGCTGGAGTGGGGTGTGTGGTGTGTCACAGTCCTGCCTGGGTGAAAGACATCCAGATCAACAGACAGCTCAGCAATATCACAGAACTCTTTGGCAACCTAGACTCACTGCTCAATCCCACTGACTCCGATTACTCAGGTACGTTATTATTAGAATATAATAAATACTTTATTGTCCATTGGTTAGAATGGAAATGTGTCTACTGCCTTTCACAACACCCCCAGATTATAATATTATAATGACCGTGACTTTCACTGAACATGATCATTAGGTCTCAGACACACCAATAGAGTTTGCTGGCCGAGAGTACTTAGAACCTCTGAACAGAGTACCAGCTGTAATTTGTGAACCGAGTACTTACCGATTGTTTGTTTTTTTACATGTAGAATCGGGTGAAAATGTCGGCAGTCAGACATAAAACACAGCGTGCTGAACGATTGGCAGACAAATGCTAGATCCATATTCAGTGCGATGTGCGCGAGCCTTAAGATAAAGGATTTACAGACAGCACTGAGCTCTTCCACAACCTAGACTGTTTATTCCTCTGAGGACAGGCAACATCTGACTGTGTCACTCAACATGATAATTATGACTATGCTTTCACTTTGTTTCCCCTGTAGGTAGGTACAACTTGTAGGATATGAATGAATGTATTCCTTGAAAGAAGACGAGTAGGCGGCCAGTACGGTGCAATAAACTTTAGTGAACTATTAACAGAATATATTTACAAAAGAATACATATGGGAGCATTCAGCATAGTACGTCAGGATGCAGAACTGCAACGACTTGTGTGTCCTGATGTATAGTTACATAGGTAGGCCTATATCCCTTAGCATTAAGCACGAATGGCAGTATTACCATGTATTCCCTCTGTGATCCCCCCCCTCCCATCAGCCTACCTGTTAATGACAGTAATAATGCAATGTCATTATCTATGGTGGTGTTTAGCTTGTAGACCTGAGCTCTGACAAACAGGGGTGATGGTCACGTTGTCGCAGTGGTAGAGGAACACACTGACTGGCAGCTACATGCCCCTCTGGGTCACCAAATTAGATACTAGCTAGCTTGATAGGCAGAACAGGCTGGGTATGTGACAAGCAAGGTCGCAACCAAAGGTGATACTAGTGGAATACAAATTGTGCCGTGACAAGGAAAGACAAAATTATAGTGCTACCTTACCGCTTGCTTTCACATATGCCATTATAGTCTTTGTCCTTGGTGAGTCGATTTGATGTGTGGTTTCAGTTTGTGTGTCCTAACAGTATTTTTCTCTTTCCTGTTCTCATTTCAGATGCCCTTCCCATTTCACCACCAGCGCAGTCAGATAAATCTGTCTTAAAGCACAAGAAGAACTTCAAGATCTGGTTTAGTCCCCGCAGCCGTAAGGTGCGCTGCCGAGTAGAGAAGCCTGCGGTAGTGCCTCTACCGGAGGTTGGGAGTGGGACTGTGAAAGCTGCTCCAAGACCTCCTGCGACACTACCTGAGTCTAAAGGCAAAGACCTGTCTGTCTTCAACTTCAACTCCTCCTCCCAAGACTCTGGTTCCTCCTCTCCTCAAAGGGTGACTAACAATGAAAAGAAGAAGAAAGCGACTAAGAAGACGAGAAATGGTGGTGGTGGTGGTGTCAGGAAGCCTGCAGCCGGGGGTTGGCAGAAACCAACCACGCATAAAGAAACCAAGCAGAATATCAAGACACAGAGGCTGGAGGCGATCAACCAGCAGTGGGGCTTTGCTGGAGAGAGGGGAGATGTCAGAGAGGAAGAAGAGCAGGTCATTACAGAGGAAGGAGAGCGCAGGTCTAGTAAAAGAGTTTCCTTCCAAAGCCCAGCCACCCTGCCTGCCACTGTGGAGCCCCAGAAGGAGGATCTCCGTCAGGGGGACACCATCATCCTCAGCCCCAGCAGAAGCATCCTGAAGGTGGTTCAGCCAGGAGAGAACGTCCCACTCTCTGAGGACCAGGACGGTCCAAGCCCACACACCACCCCTTCTCAGCTGGATAAGCTATCTGCCAAGCAGCACTCCAAACCAAAGGAAGAAACGACTACAAAGCCTGACCTGCCCTCCCCTCCTAAGCGCACTCCCAAAAGATCCTGTGTGGAAGAGAAAAACGTCTCACAGAGTACCCCAAAGAAACCCAAGGCATCTCCCGGCCAGTATAGACGTCCGGCAGTGGACAGGGTTGCACTCCCAGCCCTGCATACCCCTCCCTCGCCCTCCCTTGCTGCCAGCCCCAGACATGGTTGCACCCCCACCAGCACCAGGAGATCCAGAGGAGGAGAGCAGCAGCGGGGCTGCAGCCCATGTTCCCCAGCCCCCCTGGGGAAGAGGTCCCCAGGCAGACTGTCACAGAACAGCCCAGCGGTGGTGAAGAGAAACCACAAGGGAGAGACAGCCCTACACCTGGCAGCAATAAAGGTGAGATTAACATGACATGGGTCACAGGCTCAGGGTCAGTTGTTAGAGACATGTCAACATGTAGCAGCTGATCCCAGACCTGCTGCTATTATCAATCATTCACAGCGTTGGGACTTTGATTACCTCGGGAGGATCCAGGCAGGGATTACAGCTGTGTTTACAGGGCCTATGTTAAGCTCTCAGGGCTGGGAATGGAATGCTTGTCTGATCAGCAAAGAGTAGTACTATGGGGCGTTAGAGAACCACACTGCACAACCAGGTAGATTTAGAAAGTCTGATTTTAAGGTAGATTCACAACAAGGCACCCAGAAGAAAACCTTGGACTACAATAAAATACAAGAGTAATATAAAACCTGGGGACTATCTCTCTGATGGTGTTACTGTCTGCATCCCAAATGGCACCCTATACTTATGTAAAAGTACTGCACTTTATAGTGCTTAGGTTGCCATTTGGGACCCACACTGGTTGTGTGAAGGGCATGTTCTCATGTCTCTAGTAACTGACTCTGTACCTGTGAACCTGATTGATGATAGCTGCAGGCCCCATGATGCCTGTGTAGGATCAGCTGCTGTGTTTGGAGAGCATGTTGACATATCTCTAACACCTGACCGTAGACATGTGGTCTGATGCATCTTTTTTCAACCTCACAGAGTAATTGATTGATAATAGCAGCTGGTCTAAGATGAGTTTGGATCAGCCACTGTGTTTGGATGGCATGTTCATACCTTTAACAACTTACATTAAACCTGTGGCCTGTCTCTCTCACTCTCGCAGGGTGATGTGAAGACAGTGAAGGAGCTCCTAGACCAGGGGGCTGACCCCAACCTGAAAGACAATGCTGGATGGACACCGCTGGTGAGTGAAGCCTTGTCTCCTCAGTCTCTCCCTGTCTAGACGGATTGGACCCCCTTTGGCACCCCTGACCCCCTTTGGCACCCCTGTTCTACATGTTGGTATAGCATGCCAGTCTTTAACTTTGCCCTGCCGGATAGAAGAGCTGTTATACATAAGCATACAGTATTACTAATCTATGACTTTTGGCATTTTGGCAAATTCTACTTCCCCAGAGTCCGATGAACTTGTGGATACCATTTTTATGTTTCTGTGTCCAGTATGAAGGACGTTAGAGGTAGTTTCATGAGCCAATGCTAACTAGTGTTACCCATAGACTTTGTCTTATTGCGCTAAATATTCAAGTGAAATGCACCTTTTTATAATGTCATCAGTGCTAGTAATATATGTATTACATAGTAATAGGAGACAGTATGTAAGAGGAAGTTTGCAGTTACTGTATAATGTATGTAATAACGCTGGTCCTGTGTTGCAGCACGAGGCATGTAACCTGGGCCACCAGGGTGTAGTGGAGGTCTTGGTGGAGAGGGGAGGGGTGCTGTTGAACACACCAGGCTATGAGAACGATTCTCCTCTACACGACGCTGTCAGGAACGGACATACTGGCATCGCCATGCTTCTGCTGCAGCACGGGGCTTCACAGAGCGTCTTGTGAGTATGAATGAATTTATGTATTCTTTTTTTACATTTTAGTCATTTAGCAGACGCTCTTATCCAGAGCGACTTACAGTTAGTCCATACATTCTTTTTTTATTTTTCATACTGGCCCCCCGTGGGAATCAAACCCACAACCCTGGTGTTGCAAATGCCATGCTCTACCAACTGAGCTACATCCCTGCCGGCCATTCCCTCCCCTACCCTGGACGACGCTGGGCCAATTGTGCGCCGTCCCATGGGTCTCCCGGTCACGGGACTCTTGTGGCCCGTCCCACATGGCATTATACACATTAATATGGTAGAGCGTATTGTGAGTATGGCAGACTGCACGCAGTTATCCACAGTGAAACCCTTAGTCACATATGTGACCGGTTACAGGATCTGAGGCGTTTGCCATTGCCCCAACTGTAGACCAGGCGTTTTTAGAGCTGCAAGTTGTCATTGTTGCCTTACAAAAATCCCTGGTTAGTTTCAAACTTGTACTTAATGTCGGCAAGACTAAATATACGTTCTCTAATTCTTGCAAAAAATATTCAGATGGACTACATATTTATTAATTGATTGATTCTCCCAAAGATCAGGTTCCCGCCTATAAATATCTGGGCTTTTGGATTGACAAGGATAAAAACATTTTTTTAACATACTGGTGAGCTACAGTATGTAGTACAGTAGTTAAACGGCAAAGATTTAAAGTGGGCTTCTTTTTTAGAAATAGATCTTGCCTCTCCCTAAACAGCAGGAAGCAGATTGTACAGTCAACTTTCCTGCTAGTTCTTGACTATGATGACACCATTTACCAGAATGCAGCAGCCACTACTCTTAAACCTTTGGATGCCGTCTACCATAGCGCCCTTCGCTTTATCACAGGTGACAGTTTTAATACTCATCACTGCATCCTGTATCAAAAGGTTGGCTGGTCCTCATTAAAGTCCCGTAGATCACTTCACTATTCTCTTTTTGTTTACAAAGCTCTACTACACAAGCTTCCGACTTACCGAACTTCGTTGTTGAAGTATAAAAACATGAGATACCAAACCTTTCACAGGGTTAACTCTTGATGTTCCTCAGGTCTCCACCGAATTAGGTAAATCCGCTTTTAGTTTTAATGGACCTCACTGCTGGAACAATTTGCAGAACTCATTACAATTGGATGTTCTGGTGCTGCTCGGGCAGTATAGGGTGTTGATTGAGGACCTAGTAGCTAAGGAATGTAACTGTTTTTCTTAAATTTGATGTTTTGGTTGCTGTTTTGTTTTATATTCTGTTGGTGGTTGTATTGCTGAGATCAGAGCACCCTTGGGAATGAGACCCTGGTCTCAATGGGTTTTTTCCCTGAATAAATCAACGACGACGATGATAATGATTCGTTTTTGCAGAAATGCCTTCTTGAACATGGGATCTTTTATGTTCCTTAATTACTAACTTGTATGGGATCTGTAAATCAGCCTAGGGAGAAAGACAGGATCCTCGCTAGTCATGATTGGTTGAGATAATGGAGTGGTTGGACATGCCAAGAGATTAGTCCTGATTGGTCTGCATGTCACAGACTTCTGTCTATAACAGAATGGGCTCTTCCCTGGTCAGTATATAGATCATCTTTGCTACCACAGATGTATGGAATGATATAGCTATGGACAACTGCAAAAGTGTTGCTACAGCTCTCAAAAACATTGCTGCCATGAATTTTGCTGGTTTTAATTAGAGAGACTACTTTCTGGAGGACAATTCCATGCTGACTCACATGCGTTTACATGTGTGGGTGGGGTGTGTAAACGAAGAGTTCTCTATCATAACTCTTTCAAAGGGCATTTTCTCCTACTTGTCTTTTTAAGTGGGATAACAAGTGAATCAACTTTTAAAGCAGCATAACTTTCCTATGTTTCCTCCAACTACGGTGTACGAGAACATTTTGAAGCACTGAGTCTTTACTTTTATTTTATTTCTCTATTTAACCAGGAAGGGCTCATTTTGAGATTTGAAATCTCTTTTTCAAGAGCGTCCTGGCCAAGATAGGCAGCACCAAGTCATTACACAATTACAGACAGACAACATGAAAAACTACAAGTAATCTAGTAAAAAAATAGAAATCACAGGAGTATAACGAAATCATAAAACAGCAAATTAAAAACATTGATACGTCAAGGAATCAGCAACAATCCTTCATCAATTATTTAAAAACACCAATCGGGTCAAGTTCTTCCAGTTTCAAACTATTTTGAAAGGCGTTCCAAGCCGATGGCGCAGAGTACATAAAAGCCCTTTTACCAAATTCAGTTCAGACATTTGGAACAGTTAGCAGGATAAAGTCCTGTGAACGAAGGGAGCACCCACCACATTTCTGAAGAGTAAAAATGCCCAAATAAAATGGTAGTAAACCCAAAATGGCTTTGTAAATAAAAGTATACCTTTTCACCATACTCTGCACACTCTGCTTGGCAAAAATTACACCTAATCCTGTGTATAGTAGAAGTGGCCCATTCTGTAGGAAACCACAGATATAAGATCAACGTATTCAACGTGACGGCACCAGACAGTTGGCCTACCTCACCAGTCACAAATACCGTGAGTTCATTTTGCATGACGTGCAGTAGCGGACAGCCGGAGTCACAATTATACACTGCTCAAAAAAATAAAGGGAACACTAAAATAACACATCCTAGATCTGAATGAATGAAATAATCTTATTAAATACTTTTAACTTTACATAGTTGAATGTGCTGACAACAAAATCACACAGAAATTATCAATGGAAATCAAATGTATCAATCCATGGAGGTCTGGATTTGGAGTCACCCTCAAAATTAAAGTGGAAAACCACACTACAGGCTGATCCAACTTTGTTGTAATGTCCTTAAAACAAGTCAAAATGAGGCTCAGTAGTGTGTGTGTGGCCTCCACGTGCCTGTATGACCTCCCTACAACGCCTGGGCATGCTCCTGATGAGGTGGCGGATGGTCTCCTGAGGGATCTCCTCCCAGACCTGGACTAAAGCAATGGGGATGGGGAACGGGCGGGCCAGTCCATAGCATCAATGCCTTCCTCTTGCAGGAACTGCTGACACACTCCAGCCACATGAGGTCTAGCATTGTCTTGCATTAGGAGGAACCCAGGGCCAACTGCACCAGCATATGGTCTCACAAGGGGTCTGAGGATCTCATCTCTGTACCTAATGGCAGTCAGGCTACCTCTGGCGAGCACATGGAGGGCTGTGCGGCCCCCCAAAGAAATGCCACCCCACACCATGACTGACCCACCGCCAAACCGGTCATGTTGGAGGATGTTGCAGGCAGCAGAACGTTCTCCACGGCGTCTCCAGACTCTGTCACATGTGCTCAGTGTGAACCTGCTTTCATCTGTGAGGACCACAGGGCGCCAGTGGCGAATTTGCCAATCTTGGTGTTCTCTGGCAAATGCCAAACGTCCTGCACGGTGTTGGGCTGTAAGCACAACCCCCACCTGTGGACGTTGGGCCCTCATACCACCCTCATGGAGTCTGTTTCTGACCGTTTGAGCAGACACATGCACATTTGTGGCCTGCTGGAGGTCATTTTGCAGGGCTCTGGCAGTGCTCCTCCTGCTCCTCCTTGCACAAAGGCGGAGGTAGCAGTCCTGCTGCTGGGTTGTTGCCCTCCTACGGCCTCCTCCACGTCTCCTGATGTACTGGCCTGTCTCCTGGTAGCGCCTCCATGCTCTGGACACTACGCTGACAGACACAGCAAACCTTCTTGCCACAGCTCGCATTGATGTGCCATCCTGGATGAGCTGCACTACCTGAGCCACTTGTGTGGGTTGTAGACTCCGTCTCATGCTACCACTAGAGTGAAAGCACCGCCAGCATTCAAAAGTGACCAAAACATCAGCCAGGAAGCATAGGAACTGAGAAGTGGTCTGTGGTCACCACCTGCAGAACCACTTCTTTATTGGGGGTGTCTTGCTAATTGCCTATAATTTCCACCTGTTGTCTATTCCATTTGCACAACAGCATGTGAAATGTATTGTCAATCAGTGTTGCTTCCTAAGTGGACAGTTTGATTTCACAGAAGTGTGATTGACTTGGAGTTACATTGTGTTGTTTAAGTGTTCCATTTATTTTTTTGAGCAGTGTAGTTGGACAGCCGGACACTGATTAGTTGTTTGATGGTCAAGTCGTGTGACCTCATGGGGCGGGTAGGGGCAGAATACATCAGTGGGGTGGGAAGGGGCTGGTGTGTGTGAGGACGCTCGCATATTATTTGATGCTGATCGACGGACGATCGTTAACGGAGAGCTGAAGGAACGATTATCTATTTTTCTCTATCTTCTCTCTCGCTATCCTTTCATTTATCTTTTTCCCCTCTATCTTTTTTCTCTCTCCGTCCCTCCTCTTTTCCCCACTTCTCATCATGTTGATGTGCTGTAGTGGTTGGCCCCCGGGTCCTTGGCGACGGAGGTTAGCGACAGCAGGTTTACCCTGCCTTCCTGCTAGTCGTCTGCAAGGCAAAAGAGACAATCTGTCATGATGCCACAAGAAAAATGCAACCCTTCCCCGTCACATACTATCAATTGTCTCCACACACAAACACACACAGGGATGAACACACGCTGCCTCGCACACACAGTCTTGTATAACTAATCTTGTGGTGACACACAATTCAGTCCCATTCAAAATCCTATTTTCCCTAACCCCAAAACCTAACCCTAGTACATCATATAACATTATTACACCACTACATATCTACAATACAAAATGTATAACACCACCATACAACAATATTACAATGTACGTGTGTGTGCTAGCGCTTGTATGCGTGTGTCTGTACCCTTTGTGTAAGTCTCTTCACAGTCCCCGCTGTTCCATTAGGTGTATTTTTACTCAACTTGCTCAATTTCCGCATTATTCATTACAAGATTTAGTTGAGGTTTAGGGTTTAGTGAATGATTGGTCCCAAATACAATGCTTTTTGTTTTTGATTGCACTCTGCTTTTAACTTGCAAGCCCTATCCAACAGGGCAGTATTCAATATGAAAAGGTGTATAACGTTAAACAAAAAAACACGAGAGATGGATATATTTTGTTCAAAAAATGTAAGATAAATGCCAAAAGAATGTGCGTGTTTGCCAGGGATGGAGGCACGTATTGTCTGTTAATGCAGATGACATGCCTCTCTCCCAGCACTCCCAGACACAAGGTGTTCTGGGGGCATTCACAGCTGATTGCCTTGCTTCCCCAGCTGCACTGAGAGCTGCACAAAGCCATGCATCGGGTTTCTGGTACCTCGTCTGTCTGTCGTTGTCTTGGCTTGGATCCTCACATGTATCAGGATCAATAAAATATGATCTCAATGGGGTATTTACTTACAGATATAACTAACAAAACATCTGGCCTATTCATTTCTAGCAAGGTTTGTCAAATGTAGATGGAGGAAATTTGAGCAGTTTTTTGGGGGGGACAAAACACTATGCAACTACTGTGATCTGCATTCAGATCTGAATTGATAAATTAATGAATTTTCACTTATCAGTATGAAAGGCTTGGTTTCAGTGGTTACCCACACCCCTTAGATACACACACTACACCACCTACCCAAAGCAATTTTCCATGCTTTTCACTTTTATTTAGCTGTTCTGTTGGTGTGCTGTTCCATAAACCAAAACGATGCACTTCCTTTCAGTGGGAATGTGTGTGTCTATCTGTGCGTGTTTTTGTGCATGTGTACGTATGCGCGTCTACAGTATGTGTCTGTGCATGTGCGTGCATGCATGCACATTTGTGTGTTTATCTCTGTGTAGGTGGGCAGGGGAGGGTTAGGAATCCAATTGAAATATTTTATGGACCATTGGACCTATTAATTGTCCCCCAGGTGTTATCTTTGCTGACGCCTAATCTTTATGCACCAACCTGTTCTTCTCCTCCTTTTTCTCATCCCTTCTTCCCCTCCTCCTTCAGGAAAGTGCTGTTTCACTTTGTCGTCTGTGTCTCGGCGCTGCATTGCTGTTCACTGGATCCTCATAGCCCTATGTAAATCCATGCACTAATGTCTTGTATCATATTGTCACCGAGTGAGTTTGTTACCATCCATGTCGGTATAACCCTAATCTTGGCACCCAGAACGATGCATTACTCTCCAGCTACTAGATGGTACTAGTCTGTCACAAGAGACAAGTGTAGCAGGATTTCCAGACAGTGTTGACATGGTTCAGATTTGTGACGGAGACGGTCTGTATCTCTGTCTAACAGGAATATGTTTGGCCTTCGCCCTGTGGACTACGCCGTGAGCCCAGAGATGCAGGCAATCCTTCGGGCGGCCTCTGAAGGACCCCACCCAGTCAACTCACCTCTCAATCTTCCGCCCAGCCTCAATAAGGTATGGCCATCAGCCCATCACTGTTCTCACACACAATCAATGTTACATCAACCATTACCTTCTAGCACTGCATGCACTTTTCCCAAACTATGGAAAGAGCAGGAAGTTGTGGTTTTATTTTATACCTTTTTTATTTATCTATTTATTATATACTATAAGTTGCAAGAGTGCAACAATCTAAAATCCGTTGTTTAAAACCCATGGTGTGTGTCTGTGTTGTGTTACAGGCCAGTGAAGGTGTGAGACGGGAGGAACAGGTAGTTGTACTGGGCAGTAAACTGTCCCAGTCCCAACAGACCCGGCTGGCCAAACTGGGACAACTACTGGGAGGAAAGAGGGCAGACGCCTTCTCCTGCTCAGGTAACTTACCTTTCCACTATACCTGTACCCATCTACCCATCCACTGCCACAACACATTTGATACTAGCCTGGTCCCAGATATTTTAGTTCTGTCATGCCAAATCCTATGGCAAACATTTGTTTGGCATGTCAACGACCAAATAGGAGTTGGCAATTCAACACAAAAAGATCTGGGTCCAGGCACATTTTTGGACTTTCTTCTGGGTTACTCCCAACCACTCTAGTCTTGATTAAGACACAGAAGACTCACATTTGTAGTAGTATGAAAGGGGTGCAACATCACTTATTACATACAGGTAGCTACCTTTTTGGAGCTTTGCAAGTCTTAGTGGTACAGAGTAACAGGGAAGGCAGTTGGAACAGAGGACAGGGCTGAATGCCTGAAGTAAGTAATTTCTCATAAGCTGTTTGTGACTTATGTTGTGATGAACTTTAGTTTGTCTCTCTCTGTCTCATTCTGTTTTCACGGCTTTGGGTAGTAAAGACTTCAGTGTCTGAGTGTCTCCTATTATTTAAAGTGAAGGCAGAGCAAAGCTCCACAGCATGTAAACCACAGAGTTTAGCCCCGAGAAACAATTAAGGTCATTTTGCAGACTGTTAGCCACAGTCTTGTTGACTGAAGAGACTGCATTTTTTATTATAAGAATGTCTCATTGTCTAAGCCTGGTGTGAATGAGGCTGAGTCTACCCACGCCTGTGTTGCAATGACTCACAACAAGGACATTGCCAAGCTTTTTATTAAAATAATGTTTTGGAGAAGGCTATTCTATGAAAATTGTATTCAACTGTCTATTTCTATTCAGTAGGCCTACATTTATATTACATTTTATTATCAGAATGTAACTGTTATAAACATACGAAACCAATTGAATGCACTGGCATGTACTTGATGTGTACTAACCTAATCCATGCAATGGCAGACATTAGTTGTGTGCTGTATCCATCACTACCCATGCACTAATACACATTGTGAATGGTAGCTCTTTGGATGACATCCAGTTCTTCTTCTCCCATTCCTCTAGTCACCCATGTGGTGGTGTCAGACGGGCCGATGCCCGCCACTCTGTCCACTCTCCTGGGTCTCCTGAACGGCTGCTGGGTCCTCAACTTTAGCTGTAAGTAACTTTCACCTCTACCTCCTAGGCCTACAGTAGCCTGGTCTACAACTCTGCATCTTACCATACCTTCGGCCTATATGAACTTAAGTCTAATTATCTTAAGTATCTTATTATTCGTATACAGGCTGCATCCCAAATGGCACCCTTTTCCCCCTTACATTAACTGTGGCCTTTGACCTTGGTTCTGCACTGCTTCTTTCAAATGTGTGTCTATGTATGGTTAATGTATTCTAATGAGAAATATGATTATACTATAAAACTGTCCATATACTGTGTTACAAAATGTACATGGATACATTGAGCATGCATAGAATATCATTTCAAACCCTTACATTTTTACATGATCGACGAGATCAGGCATTCAGAGTTATACTCTACCCTCAAGTTTGCTTTAAAGCAGTATGGATTCGTACTCCATAACGATCTAGATGGAGAAATATGCCTACCTTTATTCATCTTCCCTTGCATTATCTCTCATGTGTTTCCTTGGTTTTGGAAGAAATGTGTTTGCTTTTGTACTTTGTCTTTTATCTTCTTTATTCTATGCTATGCAGTGTCCTGAGAGGCATGAAGGGTTTGTGCAACATGAAATTGTAGATATTAAATGTACATGTTGGGCATACAGGCAAATACAGGAAATTGGGGGGTTTGTGAATTGTCAGCGGACCTAGACGTCAAAATGGGTAGAAATCAAAGAAGGAAACACTCTTCTCTTGTGTTTGATTCCTACAGAGGTGAATTTATAAGTGGAAACTTTTACTATTTCCATGCATTTTTTTTTTGCAGTCTATTCCTAGTGGCAACAGTAAAATATACTAGATATTCACAGGCAGTCTACCTCAAAAGGGAAAAAAGTGACTGACTGTCATCAAGGTGTCTTGGGCCTTGTGTGTGTGTGTGTGTCTTTTTAGGATTGAGCACATTTTGTTATTCCCAACACCTCACTCTCCTCCATGGAGGATGAACACTTGACACAGCCTGTCTACCCTCAACAACAAGTGTGCCACACTCCTTCCCTCTCTGTCTGTCCCTCTTTCCATGTACCCCAGTCACCCCACTCTCCATCCCTCTCCCTCTCTGTCCCTCTTTCCTTCTTCTCTCCTACATCTCCAAGAATCGAATTAGCTGATATCCTAATGTCTCCTCTGCTAACGGTGGTGGTGGCGGCAGGGCTAACTAGCTGGCCCTATCGTCCAGAGCAGAGCGGAGTGGGAGCCGGGATTAACCCCGGTATCTCTTTCCCCCTGCCGAGGCCTCGCAGGGTCTCTCCAAATGAAAGCAGCAATTAAGGGGGATGACTAAATGTAATTATGCCTGATGACTGCTATGGACACTGTGTGTCAGACAGTGTTGTGTGAGTGTGTAGTGTGAGTGTGCATGTGGTCACATGTGAACTGTCCTCATGAGAAAAGACATTGTAGCCGCCACAGTTAAGCAGTGATCAAGATGGCACTGTTGTATTGATAGCACATATCATCATGCCAGGCACAATGGCATCATGAGACATTAAAATGGAAACACTTGGTTACCTTGCAGATTGTCATTAAGCTTTAGCGTATGTTATTTGCATGGAGTAACTAATGTCCATAAATTACCCCAACCAACGGAAAAGTTTAATGTAACCCTCACTCCCCTTGAAATGCTTATTTTACTAGAGTAAGGGTTGTCTGAAATTGTATTTTATTTCCTATATAGCACATTATATAGGGGATAGTGCCATTTTGGATGCAGCCAATGTCCATAAATTACCCCAATCAATGAAAGAGTTTAAAGCAACCCTCACATTTTAGCCCTGACTGTGCTGTGCATCTGTCATCCAAACCTCTCTTGGCACAAAGAGGTCTCTCAGTGCTGTGCAACACAACAACCCAAATATTGTTTTTACAATCGATAATGTAATAATGGAGCATTTACCTAGTCTCAGACAGTACTATTCAAGTTCTGTTGTCTGGTACCGTTGGAGAAAACCTTCCTCTTGTCTGTGGCACCACAAGGAGGGGGAAAACATGTGTGACATTATAGTAAGAAATGAAAGGGGGCGATAGATTAGAGAGAAGTGAAGAGTGGAATAAGGTGGATGTGTGTATTGAACTCCTGCTACTGGGGGCCATATGTAGTCAGTGGTTGGAAGCGCTACTACTAGACCAGATCCTGGTACTCAATTTGTTTTCAAGCGCTATGTGGGAAATTCACTGCTTTGGTACACGGTTCATTTCTTACACGTGGCGAGAAGGAGATACTACGCCAAAGCGCGCCGTATTTCAATCTGTGTTGCATCATTCGTCCTATAGGGCAAGTGTGTTGAGGGCATTCAACTCTTTATCACACTGTTCTTTAATTTCTCAAATGGTTTCTTCACATACGTAGGACTTGTCCATGGTTACATACTGTAGCGATGATCTGTAAGAGTGTGTGGTAGGGATGTGACAAATGGAAAATATAATTTTCCTAACTTTTTAAACAGCCATTAAAAACAAAAATGAGTTTTGTTAAAACGATAAGAAATTCATAAAATTCACATATGAATTCCCAATGCTGCTGCTAGCAACAGTTTGGGTCTCACAGTGCTTCCCTTTCAGATGATTCAGCATTGCACCTGTACCACCATTACTTTACCTCAATTCCACCTCGCAAAGTTTGCATTTCCTTCTCAAAGTATTGCCCTACAGGACTTTGCTGCTTTTGCTTGCCTTTCTCTGCCATTTTTCCAACTGTTAACGACGATGACATAGTGGTGGAGAGTCTCTACTCCAAAATAATTGATTCCTCGACTCCTTGCAAGTCGACTCCCATTTCTGAGTGTCAAGATTCCGCTAGGAAACGACTCCTAAGAGTCAGTGTTTTTGGACCGGAGGAGACTGATTAGTTGCCGTATTTCCGAGAACACAAACTCACATCTTTCATAGCGAGCTAGCAAGGGACAGAGCGAGAGGGGAGGGGCACAGTATAAGCAGGTCGGCCACCAGGCAGACAGTCAGAACGGTGCACTAGGCCTATCTGTCGGCAATCATTGGTTTGCAATGTCTAAACTTCAGTAAAGCAGGGGCTATCATCAATGAATAGGCTAGATTATTGAGATGAGTGAGATACAGCACTTCGCTCTCAAAGTCACACACCGTATTGGCACGTGCACAGGTTCGCTTCACGCAGTTCACAGCGTGGTAGCCAGGGCACCAGAGTCTCACGCTTCAATGCTCTTTTAGTTTTTTTGCGTATATTGACCCACTGCTGTTTTACTTTTTGTTCATCTACTTCATATCACCAAGTCTACATTCAAATTACACATTCAACTTTCCCCAAGCCTTTATAGCCTATTGTCTAATTAGGCTATAACACAGAAAATAATGTTTTGTGATAACCTGGGCGGCAGGTAGCTTAGTGGTTAAGAGCGTAGTGCCAGTAACCGAAAGGTCGCTGGTTCTAATCCCCGAGCCGACTAGGTGAAAAATCTGTCTGTGCCCTTGAGCAAGGCACTTAACCCTAACTGCTCCTGTAAGTCGCTATGGATAAGAGCGTCTGATAAATGACTAAAATGTAAATGTAATAACTGCACTGTGATTAAAACATTCTCGGTAAGGGATTTTTCTTAACTTTTAAGGATCCCCATTTTGTTTTAACATTTAAACATTCACAACCTAGTGTGTGGTACTAACATAGCCACGGCCATGGGTTCATTTGACCGCAGGGATCTCATCTAGCTATTAAATAGGTTTTCAAGTTCTCTCCACTCATCTAAGCTACTGTTGTCTCTGTCCCTCTCTCTCTTTCTCTCTCCCTCCCTCCCTCTTTCTTTCCTCACACAGGGGTAGAGGCGTGCCTGCAGGCAGATAGCTGGATTGCCGAGAGTGACCATGAAGCAGGAGAAGGACCACAACGCAGCCGCATTAACAGACACAGCCTGGTAGGTAACACACATAGAAAACAAAACAAAATGGAGGCAATGAACCGGCAAACTCAAACTCTGGAGAGTACCAGTTTAGAGCAGGAAACAATTGAGTGCATTGATGCACTCAGTAGAGGGGCCTTCTGGCACCTGACTACACAGCCACTAAACTGATAAGAGTTTTGGAGAAGAAAAAAAAGCTACAATGATGGAGTATGGCTCTTGGGTTGGAAAGCAATGCCATTACAATGCAACCCCAACAGAATGGAATAGAGTAGATTGGAGTAGGGCTGGACGATATATCGAATTAATTAGAATTTATGTTTTTGAGTGATATTCCAAATGCCTGTATCACAGATTGAAGGTTTTTTGTATTTTTCGTTTGTCTGCTTGTTCTCATGTCTTTTTGGTCTTGTCTCGTTCGCTCCTTCTGTGCTGTGCACCTTCCCATTTACACCAGAAATCTGTATATAATGACGAGATGCTCATGTCTCCACCCTGACAATGTGAGTCTTTGTCCCAAAGGCGGGAAGGCAGGCGACAAGCTTAGGTTCAAAATAAGTGCATAGAAACACATTGGGCTTATTTTGGACAGATTTTGGCAAGTGTGAAACCTCTCGCTTTGCCTCTTTCTCCCAAGCCCCTCCCCCTAACACTCACAACAACAAAGATGAGAGATCACTTCATCCTCTCTGACAAACGGCTATTTGCATTTTGAGGTTTGGTCCAACAGAATTGGTCATATGGACACCGAAACACATGGAGACATTATTTTACTGGAACATAGGTGAAGTTAACCTTTCGAACCCTGTTTATGTTAAAAATTTTCGAGCACAGCAGACACTACTAAAATGGATGTACCAATGAACATTCATTTTGGAAAATGAATGCTCTGTTTGTTGTGCGCGCATTGCGGTGCCACGTATCGCTAGCAGCATTTTAGTCAAATAAAGATTGTTATACTAGCTGTTTAGTCTGTGATTTATAAATGTGAAATAAGCGTAAAACAAGTATATAAGGAATTGGCAACTCGTTCTCATTCTGAGAAATAAGGTAGGCCACTTGATTTCAACATCTGAACAAAGTGGACAGGCTAACATGCTGTTCAAACAGTTGTAGACGGACAGAAGGTTGTGTTCATAATGATTCAACTGTTTTGCCTTGTTAGCTGAATTCAGAGCTTGTGAAATGATATCTAGATCCAAGTTGGCTAAACTTGAAATATAAATATTTGCTGGCTACTCACTAGCACGTGGGCTTGTGCTTGAGAAATTGTTTATGAGACCAGTGTTAATTTTCTATAATGCCTGCTACATTATTAGTGAATGTGCATTATGCATGGTTCTGGTTAAATGTGTAACTAAAAGGGGATTTTTATAGACAGTCCTGAAATCCAGATCGGGTGATTATTGCAAAAAAAAGCAGGTACAACTATTTTGATTTAAATTATTAGTGGGTCTTATTGTTGTGGAAGGCATGTATTCAGCCTAGGTATAATTTCACAAGATCTGAATTCATTAGATTATTGCAGACTTTTTTTTAATGCAGTGTATTTGACCTTTTTAATTGTACAACAAAGCTTATTTAGAGAGAACAAAATAAATCGAGATGTATATCGTGAATCGCCCATAAGTTTGAAATAATTGATTAGAGTTTTAGGCCATATTACCCAGTGGTGGAGTAGAGGCTGCGGTTATGGAAGAACTGAAAGGTTGTGGCTGTGATGTAGCAGTGATTCAGCTGCATTTCAACTCATTACAGAACAAGGAGAAATTCTCTCTGTTGTCTGGACACTTTGTTCAGACACTAGGCTATTCTTAGTGGGACTTGATTCTATCCCGAGGCACTAGAATGGTTTCCATTGTTTAGGATCAAGGAAGAAGATACATTCTCTTTCTCCTCCCTCTGGATGCACAGGGCTTTGATGAATTTGTAAGGGCTTGTCTACCATAATTTACAAAATTCATGAAACAAATGAAACGGCCTCACTTTTCCTTGTTAGAGGACGACAAATACTTTGTTTTAGTTTTCCTTGCAGTCCACATATGTGTTTTTGTCTTAATAACCAGCTACAGTAAGTCAGTGAAAAGTTTTATTTGACTTTAAAGCATTCTCTTCCTATTTTATTCTACTGTATTTAACTCTACTCTTTGACTTTATTTTACTCTACTCTACAATACTCCTCATCTCTACCCCAGCTGCCCCCACTGTTGGACGGTTGTTTCTTCTACCTCATGGGCTCCTTCAGGAAGCCCCCCAGGGACGAGCTCCTCCAGCTGGTGAGAGAGGCAGGGGGCCAGGTCCTGACCCGACAGCCCAAACCAGACAGTGATGTGACCCAGACCCTGTCTGCTGCAGCCTACCACGCCTCTCCGGGCTCAGACCAGGCCCTGTGTACCCAGTACATCATCTATGATCCCCAGGGCTCTTACAGGCCCCCTAGGGTGAGGTTAGGAAAGGTGTGGTCAGCTCCATCTACATGGGTTGTAAACTGTATATCGGCCTTCCAGCTACTGCCAGTGCCTGAGCTTGAATCATAGACACATCTGGTGTGTATTCAGTGAGGTGAAACGTTAGCAACAATTCCGATAGAAATGTAATAAATAGTGTTATCATGATTGCCTATTCTACATGACAGACAATCATATCTGTTCTACACAATACGTTTCTATTTAAACGTTCTGTAACATTGCACCCTGGACTGTCTGTCTCCCACCTGAATATCAAGGTCTAATCAGAACACACAGACAGCTGTGGTTGTAGAACTATAACCTTGACGTAATAGAGATTGGGGACTGACTGTGGCCGTACAGCCTCTGATGCCTATGTGGATTTGGCCTTATATACCCACCTACTACAAGCCATGACTTGTTGTTCTTAAAGTTTTGTACCTGTAGTTCAAAGATAAGCTAATGAAGTGTTTCTTTATGTTGATATTTTTATCCCTGCTCAATGACGATAGAAGATTATAAACATTTCAGCACTTTTTTCAGTGTTTTGAATGAAGGAGTGGAAAATCAACTTCTTTCTCCTACTGAGACTCTTTATAATGTCTGTGCTTTTGAGGATACCCTTTTCTTTGAATGTCTTTCAAACTGAATTGTGACCGCCTCTATTCTCAATTTTCTATGAGTTGTTCTGCAATTTTCTTAAAAAAAGAAAAATGATGAAACACTGCCTTTTATTAATACTAACGTCACCTCCTCCCGCTGCTGCACACAGTTTTCTGTTTGGGCTTTTGAGAATGAATGGTATTCTATGAAATAAACACCATTGTTGCAGCAAAACAATTACTAACTCTAATTTATCTTAATTATATACACTGAGTGGACAAAACATTAAGAACATCTGCTCTTTCCATGACATAGACTGACCAGGTGAATCCAGGTGAAAGCTATGATCCCTTATTTATGTCACTTGTTAAATCCACTTCAATCAGTGTAGATGAAGGGGAGGAGACAGGCTAAAGAAGGATTTTTATGCCTTGAGACGATTGAGGATGAATGGGCAAGACAAAATATTTGAACGGGGTATGGTAGTAGGTGCCTTTCTTGATACACACAGGAAACTGTTAAACGTGAAACCCAGTAGTGTTGCAGTTCTTGACACACTCAAACCGGTGCGTTTTGAGTGCGTCAAGAACTGCAACGCTGCTGGGTTTTTCACATTCAACAGTTTCCCGTGTGTATCAAGAATGGTCCACCACCCAAAGGACATCCAGCCGAGTGTGGGAAGTGTGGGATGCATTGGAGTCAACATGGGACAGCATCCCTGTGGAACGCTTTCGACCCCTTGTGGTCCATGCCCCGACGAATTGAGGCTGTTCTGATGGCAAAAGGGGGTGCAACTCAATATTATGAATTTTATGGCGAGAAGGTGGTAATAGTGGCTAATACCTAGGAATGCTATTCCCAGATGTTAGGTATCGCGTTCAGCCAATCAGGTTGCAGCAGTCTGTTTACCCCTGGCTGAACGCAGTGCGCAACATCAGAAAGTAGCATTAGCCATAGTGGTGGAAAATTATGTGTAAAAAATAAAGTACACTTTTTTTCCACCTTCTCGCAATTAAAATGAGTTAAAAGGATGAAATCAACGCCTTTGCAGCCTGAATGGAGATTTTTGTTGTTGTTGTATTAACCAGTCCACAGGGGATACAAGTGTATAGCCGGCTGCATAAAATGCCATTGGACAGTAAGATGAAATGACTCAATATCGCAATCTGCCGGCCTTTGAAGTAGGACACAGCCATCCTCTCTTCCCCATCTCCCAGGATGCCCCTCTCCTTCTCAATAGTATTAATCAGGGATAGGCCTAATTGCTATTGATTGCAGCGTGCCACATTAAATTGCCCCTTTCTGTCCATGCGGGAGGTGTGTGGGGGGGGGGGGGATTAGTGGTGCGGACAGACAGAACCTCAGCCTCGTAATGAATAGGAATGTGTTTAAGCAGATAACGTGTATCCCAAATGGCATTTGTGATAAAGACAGAGGAAAGCCCTGGGTTACTTCCTGTAGTAGACCTCAGGGATGTGATTTTTCCTGATTCATCAGGAATTCCCGCTTCTCTGACATGATATCCTCTATCTGTACATCATTGAAGTTGACCTAACCCTGAAACCAATATCCTCCTTTTCCTGGTTTTCTATAGTGGTAGGCTATGACCCAGGCACTATCCCCCCAAAGAGTTATTTTCTGATCTCTGCATGGTTTGTTTGACTGGTGTTCTCTCTCCCAGCTACACTGGGATGGGAAGGAGCATGATGCTTCAGGTGTAAGTCATACGACTCCTGAGTGGCGCAGTGGTCTAAGGCACTGCATCGCAGTGCTAACTGTGCCACTAGAGATCCTGGTTCGAATCCAGGCTCTGTCGCAGCCGGCCGCGACCGGGAGACTCATGGGCGGCGCACAATTGGCCCAGCGTCGTCCAGGGTAGGGGAGGGAATGGCCGGCAGGGATGTAGCTCAGTTGATAGAGCATGGCGTTTGCAACACCAGGGTTGTGGGTTCGATTCCCACGGGGGGCCAGTATAAAATAAAAAAAAGATGTATTCACTAACTGTAAGTCGCTCTGGATAAGAGTGTCTGCTAAATGACTAAAATGTAAATGTAAATATGAAATACTGTCGATGTCAAAGAATTGGAAGTAAAATGTTAACACACACCACCATGTTTCTCTCATTTGTGGTACAGGGAATTACAGCCCCTAAGTTTCATGCAGAGGTCATATTGTGAATGAGTTACCTTTCCTTCAATAAAGTGGTGTAGAATTGCACGCATTCAGTATCTGCAATCTGTGCGCACTCTCACCCTAAACCTGTGTAGGATTGTGTTTCTGTCTGGACAATAGAAGTGGAAATGAAATAAATAAATTGACACACACACCCTTGCTGTATAATAACACTTATTTTTCAGTCTATTTAACAAAATAGTTTTTGTCTCCATAAATAATACACATTTTTTCTTCTCCACCTCCGATTTTCAGAATACACATATGTTTAGAAGGTATTTACAAGTTAATATACACCATAATTGGCACCAAAGGTTGTTATATTTCAAATGGAATACAAATCTGGAGTGTTTGGTTAGATGTACAGTGGGGGGAAAAAAGTATTTAGTCAGCCACCAATTGTGCAAGTTCTCCCACTTAAAAAGATGAGAGAGGCCTGTAATTTTCATCATAGGTACACGTCAACTATGACAGACAAATTACTATCCAGAAAATCACATTGTAGGATTTTTAATGAATTTATTAGCAAATAATGGTGGAAAATAAGTATTTGGTCACCTACAAACAAGCAAGATTTCTGGCTCTCACAGACCTGTAACTTATTCTTTAAGAGGCTCCTCTGTCCTCCACTCGTTACCTGTATTAATGGCACCTGCTTGAACTTGTTATCAGTATAAAAGACACCTGTCCACAACCTCAAACAGTCACACTCCAAACTCCACTATGGCCAAGACCAAAGAGCTGTCAAATGACACCAGAAACAAAATTGTAGACCTGCACCAGGCTGGGAAGACTGAATCTGCAATAGGTAAGCAGCTTGGTTTGAAGAAATCAACTGTGGGAGCAATTATTAGGACATGGAAGACATACAAGACCACTGATAATCTCCCTCGATCTGGGGCTCCACGCAAGATCTCACCCCGTGGGGGCAAAATGATCACAAGAACGGTGAGCAAAAAATCCCAGAACCACACGGGGGGACCTAGTGAATGACCTGCAGAGAGCTGGGACCAAAGTAACAAAGCCTACCATCAGTAACAAACTACGCCGCCAGTGCCAGACGTGTCCCCCTGCTTAAGCCAGTACATGTCCAGGCCCGTCTGAAGTTTGCTAGAGTGCATTTGGATGATCCAGAAGAGGATTGGGAGAATTTCATATGATCCGATGAAACCAAAATATAACTTTTTGGTAAAAACTCAACTCGTCGTGTTTGGAGGACAAAGAATGCTGAGTTGCATCCAAAGAACACCATACCTACTGTGAAGCATGGGGGTGGAAACATCATGCTTTGGGGCTGTTTTTCTGCAAAGGGACCAGGACGACTGATCCGTGTAAAGGAAAGAATGAATGGGGCCATGTATCGTGAGATTTTGAGTGACAACCTCCTTCAATCAGCAAGGGCATTGAAGATGAAACGTGGCTGGGTCTTTCAGCATGACAATGATCCCAAACACACCGCCCGGGCAACGAAGGAGTGGCTTCGTAAGAAGCATTTCAAGGTCCTGGAGTGGCCTAGCCAGTCTCCAGATCTCAACCCCATAGAAAATCTTTGGATGGAGTTGAAAGTCCGTGTTGCCCAGCGACAGCCCCAAAACATCACTGCTCTAGAGGAGATCTGCATGGAGGAATGGGCCAAAATACCAGCAACTGTGTGTGAAAATCTTGTGAAGACTTACAGAAAACGTTTGACCTGTGTCATTGCCAACAAAGGGTATATAACAAAGTATTGAGAAACTTTTGTTATTGATCAAATACTTATTTTCCACCATAATTTGCAAATAAATTCATTACAAATCCTACAATGTGATTTTCTGGAGAAAAAAAATTCTCATTTTGTCTGTCATAGTTGATGTGTACCTATGATGAAAATTACAGGCCTCTCTCATCTTTTTAAGTGGGAGAACTTGCACAATTGGTGGCTGACTAAATACTTTTTTCCCCCACTGTACGTATGTACCCACTATGTCTTATACGCTATGGTCTAGAGGTTAGTGTGTCTTGGTACTTCCAACCAAACCATCTCTTTGTTTAATTATAAACATTTCTGGCTCTAATTCGATATAACATTAAATGATAACAGTAGGAGTTAATATTAATATAATCTTTAGGAGTAACCCCCAGTGCCTGTATAATAATACAATTTGATTGTTTAATAAATGTTTTTCTCTCCATATTAGATAGTACTCTGTTGTTTTTTCAGGCAGTTTTTGTTTTTAAAAAAAGCAATAGAACAATCTTTTATAGCTTCCAGCTACAGTAAGTCGGTGAAAATAGAAATGGTACACATTTACAGCATGGAGACGGACGGCAAAGCAGTGTTAAGTTGAATGGGTTGGAGAGTGCTTTGTGAGTAGTAGGCTAGAATTTCAGGGCCAGACACGCAAAAGACCAGACTATTTCATGAGCAGAAAATTATCAG